GATCTCAAGGATGCGTTCTACCATATTTCGATAGACAAGGATTCCGTCAAATATACCAGTTTTGTCACCCGATTCGGTCAGTTAGGGGAGGCTGAGCTACGGCCCTGTCTAAAGGTGAGAAAATATTAAAGTACCAATTTGCCCGAAGGACGCCGTTACTATACTTTCTTACTTTACGTTGGATAAGCAAAACTACTTGAAAGTGTTTATATTTACACATCGGAAGAATGTCACGTAGAAATTAATTTGATTTGAATGAGTTTGTCGCCTCAAACCAGATGATTAAAATTATTTAGTAAGGAAATATACAATCGACTTGATCGGAAACCCATCACCAAAGGCAAATTTGAAAATCTATTAACTCTTTTGAAATGGATGCCCGAAGATTGTCGAGACGATTTTCCAAACTTACCCCTCATACCAGGAAATGATTTGTTAGAAGAAGAAATTTAGTGTTTTTTTTTGTTTTGCCATTTTTTTTAAGTTGTAACAGAAATGTAATTATAAATATTTTAGTTTTGTGTTGTGATAATAATAAAAATAATATTGGGCTTAAGTTGTTTTGATTTTAAAACATATCAGCTATGTATATAAAACTTTTAGTGTATAATAGTACTAAGTCCAATATAAATTATCTAAATTTCAATGACTTGTTTACTATTTAATTTTCTTTTCCCAATAATTTGCCAAGCTGTCTTATTTTTGTTTGTAGAATTGAGTAATAATTTGTTATTATGGTTTATTTTGGCTCGCTTAATAACATTTATATACACCTTTTTGTATTGCTTATAGTGTTCTTTTAAATGTAAATTATATTTTGACAATTCGAATAGTTCTTTCAATTTCAAAGATGAGATTCTAATTCCTTTGGTAATCCAGTTGTTATTTTTTTTTTGAAGACGTTTTATTTTTACATATTAGCGGGAAGGCTTTATCAAAATAATAATGTATTATGTTTTGAACGCAACTGTATTGTTGATTCACATCATCGCAATTGTAGACATTGTCCCAATTTTCATTTTCTAATAAATATTTAAAATAGCGTATATTTTCTGTGTTCTTAGTTTGCCTATATCGAGTCATACCTGATCTATCCTCGGTGGTCTGTTTATATAGATTTAACATCGTGGCTGCATGGTCAGACCATCCAACTGTAATTACCTTTGTATCGAAGGGTGTCACATCTCCAGAAACAAAGATGTTGTCTAGACAGTTCTTTCCTCTGGTTGGTTGATCTAATGTGGGTTTGTAGTTGTATAATTCTTATAAGTCCAGGATATTTCTTCTTTCATGAGAATCCTCCAAAAAATTTATATTAAAATCTCCACAGATAAAAATTTCATATCCACCAAAATATTTTGACAAGTAATCTAACAACAATTCAAATTTTTCAAAGAATATAGATAAAATTCCATTACCACTACTACCATAGATACATACAATTAATGTCTTGGAAGAATTATTCCTATATTTAATTGCAGAGCAGTCGAAATGAAATTCTAATGACATACAACGTATTTCTTCAATTGGCTCAGCATGCACTGCCAGATTCTCGTTACAAAAAATTGCTACACCTCCATGTTTGTGGTTTCTTCTGCTAAAGTTTTCAATGAGTTGGAAGTCCTCTAATTTTATTGTCGAGATGTTGTTGTCAGTGTACCAATGTTCTAATACACATAACACTTGACAGAGATAAATGTCTAAAAAAATTTCAAGCATGTCGCATTTGTTCACTAAGCACTGCGTATTGAGATGGATTATCGAAAGTGTTTTAAAATTGTCCGTTACTTTTTGATCGAAAAATGTAAATTTTTTTACCATGATGCCGGCAGGCCAATTTTCAGGTTTATAAAGTTGAACAATTAATATTTTATCTGCGCCTACTTTGAACGAAATACTCGTTGCTTCCGGTCGTGGTGGCAACAAAGTAATGTTAAATGAATATCCAGGATATTTCTTGATTAAGTAATTTTCAATTTGCTCACATGTCGTATTTTTTCTTACACGTCCGACGTAGATTCAAGCTTTCCCAATGGCTGCATTAAATCCATCAGAAGTAGATTGTGTTTCATTTCCATAGATAGTAATATTTCTTTTAGTATTGGTTTGTCGACCTCCCTGTTGGTCTTTGTCAGTTTTTATATATTTATGTTTTTTTGTAGCCTTTTTTGGTACAGGTTTCTTTGGTGTTGCATTGATAATCGTTTCCGTGGACCTTTCCAATTAATCACTTGTATCATCATCTGAATTATCTTCGTTGTTGTTTAACTTGTCCAATATAAATTATCTAGAACCATTTATTGATATGTCATATTGCAAATAAAAAAAAAAGAATGCATAAATGATTAAATAAAAACAAAATCAAAAGAATATTAAAAATTTTATTTCCTAATAGAGCTACTAAAGCACCCAAACGACATCAAAGCGGTTCGTTAATAGCAGAAAGTGTAGTGGTGTAATTTAGATTGGTAAGATTGGTAGCCATGACGAGAAATGTCAGGTGAATGTCAGTGGCCAATGTCCAATTAAAATTTCCCGTATTTCGGGAGCCGTAAGGACTTCACTAACTTCTTCAAGACGTCACCTACCCGTCACCAACCACGACAAAATTCCCCAGATTTAAAAAAACGCAAATTTCAATTAAATTTTGCGAAAAAACGTGCGCGATAGAAAGAAAAGTATAAATAAATCTTTCATAAGGCCATTGTGGCACTCATCCTTTAAACCAGAACTTTACCATGGCATGACGACATTGGTTATGTTGGCGTGGAAAAGGTTACCGAATTGATAACATAGTGGTTCCCAAATATGTGGCAAACGGTACACCTCACGCCAGTGGCCAAATAGACCGTTTTAATAGGGACACCTATGTTGACTAAACTTACTCCAGAACCCAGAAATGGGATACCGTCCTTCATAAAGTGGAATTCGCGATGAATAACACACACCACAAAGGCATAGATAACATACCGTCGGTTTTGTTATTTAGCTTATGTCAAAGAGGCCAAGTCACTGATTTATTGAGAGAATATTTGGCAAATTATCAGCAACGGCCGAATCGTAACTCACCCGAGATTAGGCAAGCGGCGGAAGACAGGGTAGAATTGGAAGAGACGCAAAACAAATTATACTTTGACAAGCGCCATAAGAAACCCCACGTGTACAGGGTAGATGATTTCGTGATGGTTTCTAATGTGAACACTAGAGTCGGCGTAAACAAAAAGTTTATACCGAAGTTTAAAGGACCTTATGTTTTTACCAAAATCCTTCCGAACGATCGGTATGTAGTTGAGGACATACAAGGTTTTCAATTGACCCAAATGTCCTATAGAAGTACCTTGGAGCCATCGCGTTTGCAATTATGGCTCGACCCAGATTTCGGATCTCACTAAATTTTGCGGAAATGCTTTCTGACACTTACGACTCCCAAATTTGCCATCATAAACTTTTACGCCTTATTTATGCCTTACGTTTGTGTCCTATTTATGACTTACGTTAATTTATGCCTTACGTGTCATGTTTATGCCCTATTCATGTCTTATGTTCATGATTTATTTACCCACAACTTACGTTTATGCCTTACTTATGTTCACTGACGACTTCTGTTTCACTCTCACGTGCACAATCTCCACAAGCGTTATCGCTATTTGTCTTACATTACCTACGAGTGCTTAAATATGCTTTTTTATACATGTTTTCGTTATTTTATTGATTAAATCAAGACTCAAGAGCGACTAACTCCATTTTCCTGAATATTTGGGAATACAGTACTGTTATTATTAGTATTACACTGCATCTATCCAACTTGATACATGTGTCCTTGCAGAAATGTTAATAACGTCATCACAAAATTTTCTAATGGAAACACTCACTTGAAACAAATGCGAATATTACATATATATTTTTATTTTAACGTTTATTTTAACGTATCATAAAAAAAATTATCTTTCATTTATATTTTCCGCCAATTCCATTGTAGAAAGTCAACTACGAAATTTTTCGGTGTTTGCTTCTCACCTCAACACTAGGATTATATTTGAATCAACAAACTTTCACGAAATAGTCTATTCAATTTTTTAATTCATAATTAAAGTATGATTTATTTCAAAAGTAACTTTTTCAAATAATAAAACAAATATTCGTTACTAGTCCTTCAAGACAGTGGGTACTTAAATATAAATATAAACTAAGTATTATAACGTAGTTAAAATATAATTTTGTAAATAATAAAATAATGTTGGTCTGCCTGTCCATTAGGGTTCTGAATATTTAAATCCAAGTAATAATTCAATAGAACGCTCCGGTTTCCTTCGTGATATCGCACGACTGTGCAAGTTTACACAGTGACCGACTGTAAATTACGTCGAAAGTGCAAACATCTGCACCATGCTCTTGAATGCAACTAAAGATTCAATTAAAATTTGTGATTGAAACTGGAACCATTATGAAACTACATTAATCAAGTTATGTTTGAAGTTGCAGATCTACTGTACGTGCTTATTAGAAGCACAGCTTTTTGCTTAGCAAACTTACCACCATTTATGAGCCCGTATAATGTAACTTTGCTTTAAACAAATTGAATTTTTCGTTCACTTGTTGGAGCGCCGTATCTGAGCAAACTAAAGTAAGTACACAGTAGTAAATAACTCAGCTCCCGCGATCATCTCGGCTGTTTAAGTTAAGACAGTCCTTCCTTAATATTAAAACATTCACTTAAGAAATGTGAATAATTACCGTCCTTGTCAACACAACTCCGCCAGCAAAACCCCGTCCATAAATCATACTCGTCTGAGCAAATTCGCGTTAAAATCGTGCTAGTTTTTCGTCGAAAGTAATTTGAATAAATTTTCCCTGCGAATAGTCACGAAACCGTGCGTCCCAGTCTTCTGGGCGTGAGGTTCCTCAAATTTGGCTAAAAGTTTCCTCTCTCCGGACGGATTTGAAAGTCAGCTTCGCGAAAGTTTGTTTTGAGATAAGTGTAGCTCTGATGGTGTTTCCAGGTATACTTAAGGGACGTCTGGATCTGGAGTACACCACCAGCAACGGTACGCAGAGCGCCTTGCATATCATACAGCCGGGACCGGATCTTTCCGGAGATTACACTTGCGTCGTCTCCACTTTCACCAGCGAAGATAGGAAGACGAAGAGGATGCTCGTTTTCGGTAAGTCGGATTGTTTGCTAATAAGGCAACGCCGCATTAGAAGCGTTAAACGTGCAACGGGAGACGAAGGACAGATTAGGTTCGTTCCTATGCAAACACTATGGAATTGATGTTATAGGAGCTCGAGGAGATTCACTTCTACGAGAGGATTAAAAGTCGTGCATTTTTTATGTAAGAAGTAAATTATTTGATAACGTGAACACGGAAATAAAACGACCGATTATTATTATAGTGACGCACTTCTTCAATTATGTCTAAGTGGCAGTAATAAAATCGTCTATTAAGTAAGAGCTAATGACCACTGCATTGAAGGGATCAGGTACATACATATAACTCAGAACATTGTTTTTGTAACCACTAAAATTATTTTTATGAGGGGTTGGATGGCACAATAACAGTTAGTGACGATTATAAAATGACCCGTACCGGTTAGCCTTCGGTGAAAATATAGAGGTTGTAATTGAGAGAATAGAGGTTCGTAGAAAAGAAAAAGAAACAAATTATTTACGCATTAGAAAAACATAAAATATAAACCAAGCAATACAATCTAAACAATATTTTTATGCAAGATAGACATCACAAATAATAAAAATAAAAATATGACGGTTTTAGCAAAGAATATTAACAAGAATGAACAATAAGCGACGCTTGTATCCGTGCCTTTGATGTTTTGTCGATCAATTTTGATGACCTTCAGCCATTTTGTTGTGGTTGTCGAAAATAATGAAGCACTGTCTACCTCGGTATGTAATATACTAGTTTTATAAATGTTTACAGTTCGGTTCCTGTTATCCTATTTCTTTAAAAAAGTTATTCTTTCTTCGTTCCGTGTTAAACAAAATTTCGCAGCATAAAAGTAACCTCGTTTTCTTTTCCAAAATTCACATGTTTCTTAGGAATGTCATAGAATAAAATGTGTGTGAAATATGTGACAACAAATGTTTGTATTACAATTGCGATGTACGCTTACAATAGACCAAGACAGAACAATACGATGTAGCTTTGCTAGACACAATGTGGTGAAATTGAGTTGTAAAAATCACTTCTTCCTTGTCCGTAAGAGTGTCGCTTCTTGTTCATTCTTGTTAATATTCGTTGGTCAAGTGTACTCAACTCAGGCACGGATTTGTCAGCCAATGTTGTAAAACTGAAGAAGCTTTCAATAACTCTAATTTCTGTTTAGTCCGTTCATGTCTAGTCACACATTACTTTTTCTTTGTAGCGGCAAGTAGGGTTTTTTGTGAAACACATTTATGTACAAGTCTCGCATGAAAACCTATTCTAGAAATTAAAAGCCATTTGCCCAAAGATCCGCTTTCTAAATTAGTAGCAGACATACTAATAATTTTCAATAAAAGAAGCTTAAAGAAGTTAGTGTCTAAAAAATAAATTGAGTTTTTAAACATAAATTAGTGACTGGAATTTCTCCTAATAAAACCACATTGGGGACAAGTATGTTCAGACATAATTAAAAAGTGAAATACAATTTTTAATATATTTGCAAAATTATTTATGACTCTAATTAGACGATAATTTGTAATGCTTATACTATTTTTGTATGGACTGGTGTAACCCGAGATATTTTCAAGTATAATCTCTAATAAGAAATGACTGTACTCAATTCGAACCGGTAGATCTGAGTTGTTTTATCCACTACAAATTTCATCATCATTAGTCTCTATTACCCTCTGTAAGATAAATAATATTTTGATTTAAATCGTCCAAATTATTCTCATAGGTTAAACTGCTGGGATTTACGGAAATACTTAATAATTGACTTGCATCCGGGAATTCGGGTCTTTTGCACATCCTCTATATTTGTATTCCGTCTCTATTTGAATTTTAATGGGAACTTCTTTTAGATTTTTTTAATAATAATTGGATTACGGTAAGGGATCAGCAAAATTTGTTCCCAAGCTGACTTTGAATGTCTGGCTATTTTTGTCGTTCCCGTTGTAAATACAAGAAGGCAGTTTGCTTATTCAACGTCAACTTGAAGATAAATTTTCTAAATGGCACGTAATTATACCTTCACAATTTATTACAATCAAAGAAAAGTTCATTACAATGTGATTTATTCCATTAGCATCAAGTAAGACGGAACTGTTGCTTTTCAAATTTTCAACACGTGCGTGATTTATTGGACTACCGGATACCTCTGTGAACCACTCAATTACTAGTACTTAGAAACTACAATGCTGTCATATAAACTTAGCGAAATCACTTTTTAGAGTCGTGGAGTTGTGTTTTGTTCACACTTGGGTGAGTATGGTCCAAGAAGGTTCAGCTAGTATGTAGTTTCGTTACGGCCGTTTAACGACTAACGCTTACTAATTATTACAGAATTATCGTTACACATCGTAGTCTAAAATTTTAAGTTAAAGCGACTTCGTCAATAAAAATTGATAACAGCGAGAATTCTTTATGGATTAAACCAACTAAAGTGCAGGGAAAGGTTTATAATTTCTCAATATTTAAATTATTCAGATATGCTAGACTGCAACGTTATAATATTGTCAGCTATTTTACTAGCAGAGACATGTAATTACTTTATTATTTAGTCTTAAATAATGCAAGAGTTCACAAGTCGATAGAAAAATAGGTGGTACACTATCAATCATCCACAATAATTTCCTCACGCAAGTAAATTATTCTCCATTATCGGTTAGACGTTGTAGCGATATTTTCACGATCTGTTCGTGTGGAGGATTATTGAGTCTCAACCAGTTTTTAAAATCTGGAACCAACAAATTGCTTTATAACTGGTTACGTGTAAAAGAGATCGGCCTTTTTGTATGAATTAGTTTCAGTAATACAAATGTGACTTAATCTTCACTACACTGAAAATTTCAATAAACTGTCGACGTGTTTCGGCAACCACGCTGTCATCTTCTCGAATTAACCTCAGTTTAACAATGTCGCAAAATGTAAACGAGAGTCGTACAATGTAGTAGTAAGTGTTTATTTTTACCCTACGGGCATAAAAATTCTTGATTTACACTACAATTTTTTCCTAATTAACTAAAACCAAATAAAACATTTTAAAAACCAAATAACTCATTTTTTTCTTTTATCCCATCCCCTCTTGCCCCAGCCTTACTCTTGTCCTCTCCACTTTTTTCATCCATTCCACCCCTCTTCCGTCTTCATTCAATATCTCTGTCATACTCTCCTCTCTTTCTTTGCTCTCCTCCTCACAGTAATGCAGCATGTGCTCTATCGTCTCTCACCCTTCTCCACACATCCTACACATTCTTTCACCTTCGCTTACCCAAAACTTATTATTTGTTTCTTCATTTCCACACCTAAATCTCGCAATTATTTTTTTTTCTTTCGCGCATTCTCTGTCTAGGTACTTTGGTACTGCTTCTGTTATTATCTTTCTATAGTCTGCATTGTACCTAGATTTACTTACACTCGCTCTTCTCTCTTGTTTATCTTTGTCTTTGTCACGCATACACAACTTTTCTTTATATTCACCCCCATTTCCCTTTTTTTCTCTATTTCCATCCATCCCAGTCTTTCATAATATCCTTGCCTACCCTTGTGATGTTCTTTCTCTGCTTCCCTTCTTTCTCCTTCCAGCATTCATACAATATCCTACATTCCTCTCTTTCTTTCAACCTTTCATCATACTTTGCAGCTCTTTTCTCAGTGTATACTCTTAATTTTTCTCTTTTACATTCTTCTCTTACTATATAGTCTGACGTCTCTTTCCGTAGCCCTAACATCCACCTCAAATATTTTTCTTGTACTGCTTCAATCTCTGCATATTCCTTCCATCCCCATATCTCCACTACATACATTAATACACTCCTAACTAAACTATCAAACATTTTCGTCCTTCTTCTTACGTCATGTCCAAATTTTCTTTCACCTATACTCCACACCATTCCCATTATCTGCATTGCTTTGACCTTTCTTTCTCTTATGTGTGCTTTTACCGTGTTAGTTGTTGTAAACTTAAATCCTAAATATTTAAACTCCTTTACCGTGTCTATGATTCGATCTTCCCAACGCCACACTTTTTCCTCCCCTTTTCTTCCTTTTTTTCTAAACACCATCATTTTTGTTTTTTCTACATTTACCTCCAGTTTCTTTCTTTTCAAGTGTCTTTGCAGATTTTTTTTCATCTCATTCATTCCACATTCATCCTTCTCTAATATTACCAAATCATCTGCAAATGCCAAACAACATACTTTTTCTCTCCCCACCACAATTCCTCCCGCTTGTACTCCTCTAAACATTTCCTCGATATCGCTTATGTAACAAGCAAACATACTGGGACTTAATGGGCATCCCTGTCTCAATCTTTTCGTCGTCCAAAACATTTCACTTTCTACTCCTCCCACTCTCACACTAGTCACTGTCTCGGTATAGATCTCTCTTGCCGCTGCAATTAACTTTTCACTCAGTCCTCTTCTCTCCATGCATTTCCACAAACACTCTCTGTCCACCGTATCAAACGCGGCTTTTAGGTCTACAAACAGTGCATATACCCGACCTCCTTCCTTTAGCAAAGCTTTTTCTATTAGATGATGCAGGATATATACATTGTCCATAGCCCCTCTACCTCTTCTAAATCCCGCTTCACTTTCCGGTAATATACTCTTTTCGTTCGTCTCTGTCACCAAACTTTCATTTAACACCATTGCGTACAGTTTATATGCCGTATTTAGGAAAGTTATTCCCCGGTAATTCTCTACTTTTTCTTTATTACCCTTTTTATGAATTGGAAATATTTACCCTACTCTCCATTCCCGGTGAAAACCTTTACACGTCCACACATCATTCATTAACTCGCTCAATCTTTCAATCATCCCAACCGTCCCAAATATCCACACTTCGTTTACCAACCCATCCCTCCCCGGTGCTTTTCCTTGTTTCAGTCTTCCTACTTGTTTTCCTACTTCCTCTACTCGAATCTCAGCCTCCCTTTCTCTACCACCATTCCCGGTTTTACTATCTTGCGCTACAATTCTCTCTTCCTTTCCATTCAA